TGTGTGCTGTTATGGGTTTTATAGTTTGGTGAGAGGGTGTTTGTGAACTGGTGTTGATTTATGCAATATGAATGTCACAATTTATATATCATATCTGAAGTATGGACAGTTGGTTTAAATGTTGTTGAGTTTACAATTTTTTTTTTATTTTTTATTTTTTTTGGGGAAAAAGTTTGATAATTGTTTTATGATTTTAGTAGTATTAACCCAGATGCATATCCTGATTTACTCCACACAGCTTGACATTCAAAGTGAACTCCAAATTTATATATTTCCTTATCTATACTACTCTAAAAGGACGAGTGTTTTTGTAAAAATATGAACTACTTAAAATAACCTTACTTTGACATATTTTTAAATTAGTAATACAGTAATACATATTTTAATTTATATTTTTTAATAAAAAAAATGAATTACCTAAAAAACTCTTACTTTAACATGTTTTTAATGGCAAATCAGTAATACACTAATACCTATCATATCTTATAATTTTAATTAATAACTAATGCTTAATTACTTAAATACAAATACATGAACTATTAAATACATTTCACATCTCCTAAAAATCAAACACAATATTCACGCACCATTATTTCTCACGAAATTGTTTTCTTCCACATATCTCCCAAAAATCAACCTAAACAATAAAGTTTTGAAAATATATAGAATTGTTGCTTTAAAAAAAATCCTTGTTTTTAATATAATTTTATACATTATCTGACAAACTAGAAAAGCTGAACAATTCATTTAACTACTTCATTATTTAAGAAAAGTAAAATCTTATATTTAGAATTAGAATAGAAATTGCACTTTAGTCTTACTGGATGGAATTTTGATCCCACAAAAATCGTCATTTGTTTGTTTTTTTGTTTTTTCCAATTTTAGTCACAAAGTGAAAAAAATTAACGAATTTTCACTTGACCATTAAATGGTTAATATCAAGGTGAGTAATATTTTAATTATTAACACTTAAAATATATGAATTTTACATTCAATAATTAAGTAAAATATCATGAGATTTTAATTATTATTATTTTATATGAGCCACTTATTTTAAAGATGTGTGCTAAATAAAAGAATGATTTGAAAGTAAAAAAAATAATAAATCTGATGAATAACATTAAAAATATAATTAAGGTGTAAGGCTTGCTAATAAATATGAAAACAAATAATAAATAAAAATTT